GCGACCGGTCGGCGCCGGGTGGCGTCGCACCACGACTGCTCGGTCGCGTCTGTGCACGAGACTGCTGCGGCGGCGTGGTTGGCCGACTACCGCCGCCGCCGTTTTGGGACGATGGCCGGCCCTGGGACGACGTCAGCGAGAGCCGCCCGAGGGTCGAGGACATGGACGAGCGCGACGACGCAGTCGAGTCTGCATACGACGACATGGACGACCGTGACGAGGCAGTGGACTCTGTGTACGACGGACTCCCGGTCCGCTTGGTCTTCTAGCCTCGGCGGCTCAGCTCACGACCCTACACGACATCGATCTCTCTACCTGTGGCGACGGCTCGGCCGTTGATGTCGTTGGTGGCGGCGTAGGATCGGCGTTGAGTGACGGTGACGGCGACAAACGAGCCGTGCCCACCGCGCGGGCGGGTCGCTCTGCCGTGCAGCTGCGGTTGTGAATCGCGAGTCTAGGCTTCGTGTCTCAGAACGTCGTCGGTCGACGAGGCTACTACGTACCTCTCTGGGTTAAACGTTCGGCCGCAGTACGCACACTTTTCCATGACCTAGCGCCGCAATGAGTGCGCTGCGTGCAATTCGTCATCTTGTCTACCTTTTCCTCAAAAGCTCTGGCGGCCGCGCGATTCTGCGCTTCGAGCTCGTCGGGCGAGAGCTGGTAGAGCACGTTGGCTTCAATGGGCAGCTCTTGGGGCGGCTCGGGCACAGGTCGTCGCTCGCGCAGCGGCTTCTTCTCCTCCTATTCGCAAGCCGTTCTTGCGTCTGCCTATCGTATAGGGTGCTGCGAACCTGCGCGATCCAGAGCAGCTTGCACTGCTTGAGATGAATCTCAAACGAGGAGAGTCCATACTCGCTACACGACAACAACAACAGAGTGGAGGCGAGGCGAGCAGCTCGAGATATACCGGCCGCAGACGTAGCAGAGGCGGACCTTTGGGCGTCGTGCTACATAACGAGCATGAGTCGCGATCGCGATGACACTTGCAGGCGCACCGGCGTCCATCTTGGGCGGCTCGGAAACGGCTTTTCGGCGGCCGGGGAATCTGATTGGGTAGGCAGCAATCTTGTTGTAGAACGACTTGTCCTTGGTCGGCATGAGAGGCTGGACGTGCAGGCGCGACATATACGAGACCGCACGGGCCGAAGGACGCAAATGGGCAAATGCGCCACTTGCGCTCCCAACTGCTGCCACCGTGGGACTATGGGCTTTCGTACAGTGTATTTTTCCGTACAGTGTACTGAACCGTGCCAATCGTCTGGCATCCAGTGTATTGGACGACCAAAGGCGACGGACCGATCGCGTGCATGCCTTTTGGGTGCTGTCGCGCCATGATGATTTGCGGACCCCGTAAGCTGACGGTGCTTGTTAGCCGGGCGTGGCGAGTTGTGCTACGATGCATACAGTATAGGGGTCGCCAGTCGAAGTAGCCGCACTGGCTGGCGCTGGTTGATGAAGCCAAACCAGTCGTGTCCCACGCGCCGGGTTTCTAATTTTTGCGTGCGACGAGAACGTTTACTTTGATCAGTGGTTGGCAACCCGGTTGGCAACCGTGTCTTTAATCCGTGCGCCATAAACACGGCCAATTGGCGTCCGGCCATCGCATAGGGCCATCGATGGGCGCTTTTATATACCAGTACAAGGCGCGCCAGCGACGGCAGCAGTCGCCATTCGGCAGCAGCCGAGCGAAATTCGATTTGGCAATGGGCTTGACAGATTGGGTTTTGACTTCCATGGTTAGCGTTAAGGATGAAAAATGAAGGACTTCACTCTTTATTCTAGGTCCGGCAGCTTCTCGCGGGTTTTTTTTCGACCACTGCGCAATTGCGCCCGTGCTCCTGAACCACCAGCGTAGCTCGGCGTATAAAGCCGGCCTGGACCGACTACCAGATCCGATTAATATCTCTATAAACAACGGTGCGCTACTTTCGAGATCCCAAAAGAAAGACCGCGTCTGGTGGCACCCATATCTTAATCGTTCGGCACGCATCCTCGGTATAATGCCAGGAGCGTGATGATAGGCCGTACGCAAGGAAGGCCACGTGGAAGCTTCGTCCATCGAGAGCAAAAGCGTACACGCTGCCATTCCAACACGAAGCGTCCACGAGAAATGTACAATATTGTCCATCACGTTCTATAGTTTTTTTCATTTCGAAAAATGCCGTGTTTCGGTGGTTCGAGGGTCGTGCTACGACACAAATATGACTTGCTTCTCGTATGCCTATAATAAAACAAAGAGTAGACAATAAATGCCATCGCGACACGCCACCACGCACTGGCTCGTTGTCGCGTTGGCATACTACATTAATTCCGTTCACGGTAACACTATTTGACATGCATCCGGCTAAGTACGCGCCGCCATGCCCACAGTGGGAGCCGACGAGGTAATTGACCGACGACCGCGCAGATGCCCCGCTACGTCACGATCCAAGGCCCGGTACATGGCCCGCGAAGCGGCCGCTGCGAGTACCGCGTCGGCGACCACGTCGAGATTGCCGGGCGCAAGGGTGAGAGCGCGGTCATCTACGTGGCCGAGATCATCGGCCTCCATGCCGACGGCTTCACGGGCAAGTACTACTACTTCCCGTCCGACTTGGACGAGAAGACAATGGCGCAGTTCCCGACGCACCCGGGCAACCATATATCGTCGGCGCGGGACACGGACATTGTCGACCTCAAGACAGAAGACAACGAGATCTTTGCCTCGCCGTTCTCAGGCGACGCGCCGATGGCCGCGATTCTGCAGCGCTGCTACGTCGTGCAGAGCATGCCATTGCGCCAGTTCAAGGACGAGCCGCTGCACACGTACTTGTGCCGCTATGCGTACGCACCGTCGGCGTTTCCGTCGCCGTTTGTCAAGATCGATGCGGACGACGCCGAGCCCGTCAACTGCCGCCTCGGGCCCAACCACCAGGCCGACATTCCACCGTTCGAGCCCAAGCCGCCGCTGGATGCGAAGCCGTCGCTGAACCGCCGATGGGTGCCCAAGCTTGCGCGGCGCCAGGTCAAGACGTACCTCGCGGTCGCGCACGTCCTCCAGCTCGCGATTGGCAACATTGCGTATGCGTGGAACCCGAAATCCAAGGAGCAGATTCCGGTCGTGCTCCGCGAGTACCTCCCAATCGACGGCCAATTCCGCGTGACGTTCATCGACGGCACGGGCGGCGCGAGCCTCGTGGACGGCGACATGGTGCGCGGCCTCGTCGCGCCGGACGAGGTGCTCTTTGCGCTCCACGACGCCGACTATGACGCCACGAGCGCGCTCCAAACCGTGGCCACGTGGATTAGCAAGCGGTCGGTCGACATGGTCAAGGACATGGCTGAGGACTCCGAGTCGGGCGAGTCCGACTCGTCCGCGACGTCGCCGCGCCAGCACACGGAGCGACAGACGACGCTGTTCAAGCAGCGGCTAGCAAAGCAGCGCCAACAAGCACCGCCGCCGACCAAGCGTCAGCGAAAAGTAGATCAGTAACACGAACGAGACGACGAGGAAATCGCTGCTTGGGTTACGAGACGTGGCGGGCGATTCCGAGCGGCGGCAACGTCACGAGGTCGACGTCGCGCCAGACGCGACTGTCGTCGTTCTCGTCGCTTGCATCGGCGGCGGTTGCGTTGCGCTGGTCGCGCCGCGTGACAGCGTCGTAGGCCCACACCAACCGCCGTAGCGGGTCGTACATCTCGAGCGACGAGAAGTACTGCAGCGCCGAAACCTGCTCGGACGTCATGCGCAGCTGCTGGAACGATTGGTTTGAGAGGAGTGTGCAGAGCTCTGTCTCGCTAAACGCACGCAGCTTGGTGACAAAGTTGACTTGGGCAAACGCCGAGAGCGCGGTAAAGTCAAAGGTCGCGAGCGCCTACGGCGATGATAAATTGCGTGCAAAGCGTCGAGCCGACGCGCACCTGCTGGACGTTGCGGAGCGCGCGATTGGCATCGACGAGCGCCCGTAGACGCTCGTAGTGACTCATGTAGCGGCTGCTCTCGGGCGGCTCGAGGACGAGGCTGGCAAGCGTCGCATTTTGCTCCAGCGCCTCGACAAGGCGGCGCCAGCCTACCTCCTTTATGCGTGGGTTCTCGGACAAGCTACATATAGGATTCTAGCTCTCATCGTCACCACTCGACACTGCATGTACGTGAGCGTCGTTAACGTCGAGTTGCGGAGCAGTGCGTCTGCGAGACAGGCGCAGGCATTGCAGTTCAGACCCGTTTGACGCAGACTAGTTTTTTCCATGGCAGACGTCAGTCCTCTCCATCGCCCGCTGCAATGGATCGCACCATAGGTCGCGCAGAGGGGGGTTGAGTTGCAGGGCGCGCGCGAGATGCGAGAGGCCCGAGGATCCCATGTTGTTGCCACTCAGATCGACGCGCGTGATGCTGTCGTTCACGCGCAGAATCGCGCCGAGCTTCATGGCGCTGTCATAGTCGAGGTCGTTGGCGGCCAACCTACTTTTCCGTGTGCATTCCGAAATATGACGTGGCGCCCTACACGAGCGTCTGAAGCGTGTGCGACGTGCGAATCACTTCGCAGAGTGCGTCGAGGCCGTCGTGACACACTTGGTTGGCGACGTTGTGCGTCACATCGTTTTTGCTCAACGAAAGCAGCGTCACTTGGGACGTGGTTGCCAGGAGCCCGGACGCGAGCAGGACGAGGCCGTCGCTCCGGAGACGCGTGTCGTCCAAGCTACTCGCATGTTTCAACACGATGATTCGAAGCATGCAACTATACTAGAGATGCTGGAGCTTCTTGAGGGCGGCGAGCGCCGACGAAAGCGATTCAATGCCACCAAAGAGGACGCCTTTGACAGCGAT